TGTGTGTGTGTGTGTGTGTGTGTGTGTGTGTGTGTGTGTGTGTGTGTGTGTTAATCGGAGATAAACGGACGTGACTACGTCGATCTACTTACATCCGTTTGACAGCCAGACCCTGTGTACCTCGAGCGGGCTGGCCTTGCGTGACAAAGACCGGAAATTGCGTGGGTGTGTATCGGAAGAGGATTACGGGCGATAAAGGCCTCGAGACAACTAGGGGGTACATCTAGGAGGTGATCGCTTAGGGGTACATGTTTTATGACTGTGTCATTTTGTTTAGAATGTGTTATTTGTTTGGAGTGTGTTTTATGTTGTTTAGTATTTATTTCTTGTTATTTGTTTGGGGTATGTGCGGGTTTGTTTATATTTTGTTGTTGTTGTTTTGGTTGGGTTTTTTTTTTTTTTGGGGGGGGGGGGTGTTATGTGTTGTGTTGTTTTGTTTATATTTTTAAAATTTGTTTTGAGGGGGTTTTTTGTGTGTACTTTGCGTAACGAGGTGTAGTTGAAGAACAGACTGTGTTTATCGGGCCGTGCTCCGGCGATACACCCTCCTCTGTCACGTGACAGAGTTGGACTCGTGGGTGGTTGTCGGGTGCTTTGGTGTGGTTTACTCCTTCTTTCCTATCATTTTCATCTCCCCTCCTTCTATTTTGTGTTTGTTACTCTCAAGTAACACCTCTAATCTACCGCATTTATATGACCTTATTGTGTTGCAAATGCCGTAACACTCTTACTAAAACTAAAACTAAGAGTTCGGCTTGCTTGCCAAGCGTCATTTCACCACCTCAGAATTACAAAGTTCTATCAGATCAGTAGATCTAGAAGTCTACATAGCTGTGAGAAATTTGACCTCAAAATCTTTGAATTTCACATCATGTCAAGCTTGTTCAAAATGCAATTCTTTGAATGTCTTGATAACACTACGACTATTCTTCGGATTTTGATATAGCAGATAGAGCATTTGCTTTCTGAGTTTATTGTCTTAGTAACTCAAAACGGCCTAAAATGTCTGATAGAACTTTATAATTCTGAGGTAGCGATTTGACGACAGCCAGCTTCCCAGAGACAATGAGAGAGAGAGCATAGTAACCTTTTCGGCCAACTTAAGGAGGTATTACACGTTCAGTTAAAAGTGACAGTTGCCGTCCTCTTTGAGATGAAATATAT